AGGAAGGAACAGCAGTCCTCCTTAGAACCACAGTAGAGGGGAAAGGATGAGACAGTCAAGGGAGGAGGAAGCCGGGTTGAACAGTCTTTTGTGTTAGTTTTCTTTGCACTAACTTCTTTGTGCACCTTAATTCTGCATCACTGCTGTTAACACTGTCAGGGGAGAAATTTGTGGAATTTGATACGTAATTGAATCCTGTCCAAATGGCACCGCAGTGCTCACTGGGCTCTATAAAGGCAAGGCTGGTGCCTGCTAATGTTAGGAGATAGCTGGGAAACTAACGCGGTCTAATGAAATGGCCGCACACTGCTCGCTGCTCCTGCTCTTTCCCGTCTTAGAATGTCCATCAACACGACCTAATGAGACAGCCACTACCTCATCAGTCACATTTACCTAAGTGACTTTCCTCTTCTGGTCCTTCCTCTGGTATTATTTAAACTACAGTGTAGGAGATGATTTAGACATCTAGCTCCTGGCCCACCGTTACCGTAGCCAGCCTCATTAATCTCCAAGAACTTTTTCATTACCACAGATCTGTGACTCACCCCGACAAGCACAGCCATCAGAGGTAAATTGAATTGGGAGTCTGTCTCCTACCACTTTGTCTTTTATTTGTTCCAGTTGTATAGCTCCCCCAAAAAGTTACTTAGGCCAGTAGTTTTGTAATCTGAAATGGTGATTACTTTAGCTTGGACGCTGGTGTTCTAGCCTGTGGGATACCTACCCACTCTTCCTTCCAGAGTGGACTCAAAGGTTTCTTATCCCAGGAAGTCTTTCCTAGCTGCCACCCAACCCCTCGCTCCAGCTAGAATGACATTTTTCCTATTTTAAATCAGTCTGACCTAGATGGACTACTATCATAATGGTTAAAGAGTATGAATTCTGGAGTGACACCTGCCTCAGCCCCCTCACTTCCTTCTGTCTCACCTTCCTCATTTGTAAGCTGAGTCTTATCCTAGTGTCAACTTTCTAGGACCATTGTATGAATCAAATGAATTAATGCATGCAAAGTTCTTAGAACCTACTAAGTGGTCAATAACTATGCATCATATTTCCTTCCAAGATTGTGGGCTACTGACTGCCTGTGGTTGTTTGTTTGGTTATGTGCACCCAGGGCATGATCTGTAGGAATGAAAACACAGAACACACGAGGGATTCCCACAGGGACAACTCCTCTCCCTCATCCAGCTCCTCTGCATCCTCAAGCATTGAGTGCTATGTATTCAATTTCCTAAATATCTTTTAACCCTCTCTTCTCTTTATCAAAACACCATCACTTCTTGCTTAGATGCTCGTGATGACTTCCTGACTAATCATCCTCTTCCTATAAGCACTTGCTGTGTTCTAGTGCAGCCAGAGTGAAAGTTTAGACGTATAAACCAGAATATATTAATCTGGACTAAAGTCATTCAGAGACATTCATTACCCTTAGGGTAGAGATCGGACACCTTCTCTTGGTCCACCTGATATGCCTTGCTCACGGCAGACTTCCCTGCGCCCGTCCTCCCCACCCTGCGCCCGTCCTCCCACCCTGCGTTCTCACGGCCACACGGGCCTGGTGCTGTGCCTGTCCCCGCGAGCGGGAGGAGGCAGCCTTGTCCTTCCACATCTGTTGCTCACATCCCCGAGCGGAGAGCTGAGCACACAGTACACCGTGTGCACAAAAGGCAGGCGATGAACATTAGTTGAACAAAAGTGATTGAAAAGATGTACTTGGCATTTAGAAATAACTAGCTTTTAAAACTGTAAGTTTGGATCTCCAGCACTTTTGATAAAGGAAGAACGGCGGAGTAGACGTGGTAACACCTACTCCGTGACAATCAAAGGAGACAGCATAGGTGCAGCTGCTCTTGCAGAGCCCGGCGCATGGCAGCGTGGACGGAAGCCCCTCTCCTTCGTGCCCCTGGCCTCTGGCTGCCTGGTTCTCGGCTCTTTCTGTCTGCAAGGCCCGAGGCAACACGGCGCCCCCAAGCCAACGCTGCTCTCATCAGTGTTCTCGTCGGGAATAGCCAGGGCTGCTTACTGCAGCTGCCCGGGCCTGCAGCCCGAGCACACAGCGAGAGGGGCCACCTGAACACATCCCCCCACCAGGTCTCTGCTTTCCCGCTTGGCCTTTTCTCCCAATCACGCTGTTAGACCTTCTCAATGTATTACCACGGGAGGGGATGTGACAGCAGGGGGCAGAGAAAGAGAAACGTTCCCTGGATTTTGAGGTTCAAAAGCCTAAGCCCTTAGGATAATGGAGAGGGTGTAAAAATTGGAGGGAGAGGTTTATGAAAAGCAAATTTTCATCCACTTGCCTAAAACCCCCACCCCAAGAGCCTTAAGACCAGAAAATTATTTCTCAGGCTGGTGAGAGAAGCAGGAGGGGACGAGAGACCACAGGGATCCTGAGGTGGAACTTTTCCAGGCTGAGCTGTTTGGAAACAGTCAGCCCAGTATATTTTTGGTATCTGAGAACAGAGGGGTTTTGTACCTATTCTCAGGGACAGCCCATGGAAATATTAGTAGTCAGATCTCAGAGAAGAGATGGTGGCGTAACGTTCTGAGGAAGCCCACAGAGTTTCCTAAAGGGTGGTGTGCTGGCAGCAGAAGGACTCGCAAGTACCCAGGAGTAGCAACAAGTGACCGCAGAGACCCCCACACCTCAAGTGTGGGGATGCCTGCGCTGTCGCTGGTGTGACTGCCGACAGAGGACCAGGTGGGTAATGGACGTGGCACCTGGGCCTGGTGTGGCCAGAAGACAGGCAGGAAGAGGCGGACCACAGTGCTGTCTCCCCCAGAACGCAGCACTACGCGTGTCCCCGAGATTTACCGTACCCCAGGAGAAGGGTGGAAATGAGATGAGGATTCTTCACAACTAAGTTTTTTTGTCACAGCAGTGGATTAAGGTTAGGATAAGGTCAGAATATTAATAATTACTAGTTTGAATTAAGTAAAAGTAAAAATTATCTTGCTTGCTTGCTGGAGTCTGAGGCTACTCTTGGTACCAGCCCTGGCAAGGTCAAAACAGTGAACAGAGGCATGACTCATTCTCACGTCCCTGCGTGCTGGGTGCAGGGGAGCGTGGGGTGAGCTGGCTCCTGCTCTCTCACCCCACCTCTGTGTCCTCCATGACAGAGATGGAGTGTGCAGCATGCAGTGTGCCCTTAAAGCCTCCACAGTGCCACAGAGAAGCCATGGCTGCTCCCAGAGTAGTGTCACCACAGCGTGGTCACTGTGGGGATACCCCCTTGCAGAGCCAGGGGTCATTCATCCTAGTTAAGCTAAGAAACTTACGCATCTGAATGTGTCCCAGAGTAATGGCAAGTATCTGTCTGACCAGTCAGCCTGGTGGTAATGGACAGTACTAGAAGAAGAAATACATGAGATTTAGAACCTGCCAGACCTAATGCCAGCAAATTCTTTCACTTATTAGCTATGCTGTCTGGAGTATGTCATTTAACCTCTCTCAGTCTCAATATTCTCATGTATATATTCTACTGTATATAATTAATTTAATATCTGTGTGGTAAAGTCGTTGTAGAGATCCAAAATAATGCATGTAAAATAATTAATGTAGTTTACATTTATTGATGTATCCCAAACATAATCACCTATTAATAGGCTGATCAAGAGTTCTTTAAATTAAAATATGAAGCTAGGGAGAAAAAGTCCAACAAAATTCTAGATCATGTACCATGAAAAACAACACATAGAATTTGTGAAAGAAATATTAGGTCATTTTCAGGAGCAACCAGGAGATTTGGAATTCACTTAAGGCTTCAGATGTTTATATATCTATGCATGGCTAAGAGTCAATTAAACTTGTAATTTTAAAACAAGCATCAGTTCAGTTTAATAAATTCACACTGGGTATGTTTCAGGACTGTTCTAGCCTCTGAAAATATAGAGATGACTAATCACATGGCTACTGATGTCAAGTACTTCACAGTCTAGAAATTAAATGTCTCCAAATTATTGATGAGATGCAGTTTGTGAGCAAAATAAGACACCAAAAGGTAAATTCTTTTCAAAAGAAACAGCGCCAATAGAATGGAGTAGCCTTACTTTCATATATGTATATACACACACATACATATGTAAGATTTATAAAAAGTCATGAAGCTTAAGGGTAGCCAACATTCAAGTGCTGAGAAAAGGGAGCAGAAACAAGTGAACGAGTGATCATATTGTGATTATGTAAAACAGACTTCCTGGCCAGGCAGAAGTTCTGTAGGAAGGATCTTATTCCAAAATACAAACTGACCCAGAGGCAAAAAGTAGCAGTGAGGAAGGGCTTCCAGTCTCAGGAGAGTCTGTGAAAAGTAGAACATTTGATGTTCTTTACTGACCATTTCATCTCTTAGCAGGCAGGAGAAGCAACAAGGAAAATTGCCATTCTGTATTTAATTCTAACCAACAAAAAAGGGCTTGCTGTTGGAGTTAAAGTTATACCAAGCTTGGGAGAAATCAAGTCATCTTGGAATTCATAACAGCGAAGAAAAGAAACAGTAGGCATAGTTAGACCTGCACTCTGGACTTTAGGAAAACAGATTGTTCAAAAAGCTCATAAAAAGGCTGGCGTGATTCCATGGCTAGAGACTCTGAAAAGAAACACAGAGTAGAAAGAGTTAGGAAAAGTGTTATTTACAGGAACAGAGAAATGAAAGTATGGATATTAGAGAGTTGAGCGAGAAAGGGACGGAAATGGAGATGTAGAAAGGAAGGCAGGACAAGGCAGACCCACAGACCACAGACCCCACACGTGGAGGAAAAGAGAGGGGAGACAGGGCAGCCGTGTGCGGGAGGGGTGCGCTAGAGCCGCAGGCCGCCGCGGGCACCGGCTGGAGGAGGGAGGTCCCAGCGCCCTGGCGTGTGGACTTCTCTCGGGCAGAAACCTGGGAGCCTGGAGCAGGTGACGCACAGCCTCGCGGTGACATCTAACCTCTCCTGTTCACAGAATGCCCAGAGTTTGTAATTTCAACAAAAACATAAATGATGTAATATGACAACTTTGATTTATAAGAAGCTGTGATATACATTTAATGTACCCACACATTACTTAATTTTTATAGTACTATTTCATAGTCAGTATTATTGCCTTTTTTTTTTTTAACAGAGAAAGGAACTGAGACTTAAACATGTTAAGAAAGTTGACCGAAGTCACTCAGCTATTAAACAGTGGAGCCTCGATTAGAATCCACATCCTGACTCCAAATCCCGCTGCTCCACACGCTGGAGAGACCGCATCTGGAGTGCTGAGCTCCCTTCTCGCCGCTGTGTTTTATGATTGTGCATAAAAGTGGAATAAGAAGAATGCAAAAAATCATAAACTTGGAATTCCATCTTCATCTTTCAATGCAGCTTGGCACTCTGGTCCCTAACTGGCAGTGCTGTCTACTCCTGGCTTTTGGTTATTCTGAAATGTTTTAAAGCAACTGAACAGGCAAAATACAGGAGTTTACTTCTTTTAGTGACTCTGCATCCCACGCCTGGTCGTACCATTGCACAATGGCAGAGCTCTGAGATAGTGAAGGGCTGGGCTGGTGATGTATTCTACTCGCAGAGCCCAGCCCTTGATTTCCATGAATAGTGGGGAACTTCTTACCTCCTCTGGGAAAGAAAGGGAGAATTCTGAGGAATTTCAGGAGAAGAAAAAAAAAAAAGCAGACAACGACAGAGCATGAACAATTCACATATTATCTCCCCACATTTCTATCCACTGAATTGCTTACTAAATATTGAAATACCTACTTGTAGTTCCTACAATGAAGGCTAACTTCTCAATAGATCAGTTTCTACTTGCTGCTGTTTGCCTCTAGTACTGCTATTTCTTGATATTTTATTTAAACCTAGTGGTATAAGTCCATTTTGATGATAGATAAAGAAGCAAAATTCAACAATATTTGCTGCAGTTTTGGCATAAAACAGCATTTGTTGTTCCCATTATAATCTTCTGTGATTATATCCCAATTAATACAATATTACTTGCCACAATTGTAATTATAGAAAATATTGTGGAAGAAAAAATGTTGCATATGTACCAACAGGTTTAGGGTACAGGCTGCCATGTATGAATTACATGTATGTAAGCCATGCTGATGATGGCGACGATGACAGTGCCTTGGTGTGGCAATCTGAAGGGCAGGCTGCCTCGGCTGAACCCTGAACCAGCCCAGAGCCCAGCACAGTGCCTGGCACACAGGACATCCGCACCGAGTAATGAACTTACAATAATGAATTTGTTGGATGAAAGCAATGCCCCTTGTGGAGGCCTATGTGAAGCAGGGTCTGGGACCAGAGACCAGCAAGTAAGTCCCCAAAGTGAAGGGACAGGCCACATCCAGAGGCAGAAGGAGTCCAGGTTCCAGGGGGAGGGGCAGTCTTTGTTACTGACACTCAAGGTGGCAGTGATGATGGGTGAAATTAATTATAGGCACAGATTTATGTATCCTTTGGGTGAGGATAACAGTTAACATTAACTGAAGGGTTATTAGGTGTCTGGTATTATATTTTGTGCTTACATATATAATTCTACTTACTTGTAAAATCAGTTGAAAGCTGGGTATTAAACCAAGTTTGTTGGTAAGAAGATGAAAGCTCAGAGAAGGCTGTTTACATAAAACCACTGGCTCTTAAGAGGTACTTGAATCCAATATAATACTTGTCCACTGATTTATGCTATGATATGGTACTTTTCAGAGAACATTTTTTTAAATTTACTAATCAAAAGACCAACTGACTGATATATTAGCTGTTTATGCTATTTTGCTATCTTCCTCTGACTCTATTTGTAAGTCTGTCTCTACTTTGGCCTTGATTTGATCATTCACAGTCTCTAAGATCTATTGAATATGGCTTTGAATCTTGCCCCTTAATTACTTAGGTTTTCATCTTCATAGCCTTTTTTAATAAGGCTCTGAGCACAAGAGACTTTGCTTTTTTTTATTTATTTAGAAAAGCATAAGAACCTCTTGTCTGTTATTTAAAGATATAAATATCCTGAGGGGTCTAATTAAATTCTAAAGAACCAGAAATGACAAAATTGGAGCAGAGACTAAAATAAAACACAACTTAATAAGGGTTAATTCATCACACAGATGGGACATTTTTGTAAGGAGGTGACCTTTTATTCTAAGAATAAGTTCTATACTCTAAATATTTTCCATTCACTATGTTAAAAAGTATTAAAGAAAGTTTTTAAATAAAGGGACAAGAGATTTATTTTAAAACAAGATAAACTATAATAATTTGTAAGTTATAATAATGAAAATTATAAATCTGTATTTTAGAAAATAATCAAAGATATTATAGAAACAAAAATTACTGATGCAATATATTCCAGTACAAAAACCATGTTCTAACACTACATGAAGTTTCAAAATTATATGAGAAGCCAGCAAAGAAATGCTTTTTAAAAAATCTGATGATAATGACTCATATTTGTATAGCAAATGACTGTTTGAAAAGTGACACTTTTCATTTAGATTCTGAAATACTGAGACAAAGTATGCCTTGGAGTTGAAATAATTACTTATATGAAAGAACTTGGGAACTTTTGAAAATCTGAATTTTTCAAATAGTCCTGTTTCTCATTTATGAATTTCTGAAAATGTCCCCTAACTGGTACAATCCCTTTCTTTTGATTTCTTTACCCCAAATTCTCCACGTATCTTCAGAGCAGCTGCATCTGGGATATGACACAGAGCCTTGTGCACTGGCAGTGGGACAGAGGACACCTAGAAAATCCCCCACCCCAAGAGCACTAAGATAGCTTTTATTTTTTTTATTTTTATTTATTTATTTATTTTTTAAGATAGCTTTTAAATCAGTGAGTTCAACTCTGCCCAAGGTGTGGCCCATAGCATTGTAGGCTGAAAAACTTGATATTGTCAGTGTTCCAGCAATGAACTGACTTAGAGGTGCTAGTTCATAATAAAAAAAAGTCACCAGTATGTATGTGTTAATTTCCAATGAGCAATCCTTCTACCAAGTAGGCAGCATGCTTACCCTGATTTGACTTGAGAAGGCCGACTGCGAGCAGTCTCCTTGGTGGGGAGTGTTGGTTGCCTGGCTCAGAGCATCCGATTCCAAAGCCTGCTGTGCCCATGGCGATCGTCAATCCAGGACATTCCTGCTGGCCTCAGAGGCCATCTTCTCCTCTGTTCTATGTTTCAGTGGACTCTTTGGGCTGTCATTTCTATCCAGCTAGTTTCTTTTCATTTGTACAGTCTTTCTTCAAGAAGGGCACTGTATAATTAATTTCCTTGTAAATAATTCTGTTTTCATGAAGTTAAATCCAGGATACACTGGAGCTTGAGATGTTCCCAAACTTGTTGGATGTGCGTTGAGAGACACAAGTCATTGATGACATCTGTTTTGTGTAGAGCTTTGCAGTGTGAAGTTCAAAGCGCCATCTAATTCCCAAGGCTTAGAGCTTCTCCCAGGTCCAGGCAGTGAAAGTGTAAACTACGCAGCAGCTTCCACCTGCTAACGAGGTCACTTTCTGCCACAGAATTTTTGTTAACTTTCTATCAATGTTGCATTTATTTATATCTGTAATTATATGTTACATGGAGAAATGAGTGAAAATGCAGGTGATCAAGGAATAAGTTGGGACACGCCCTTGTAGGCATTTTTTAGTGTTGGAATCTGGACAATTTATGACTGGCCTTGTTCCAAAGTGAGATCTGACCTGTATGTTCAACCCCTATCAACAAAAAAATTGCCTCATTGTATTTTTGCATTACATAATTCTTTGTGCCATCATATGGAAACTGCTCTGCTACACTTTTTCATTTTTGCAATTGTCTTTATACTTATCACCTCTAATTATCTTTTCTATATACTGTTGTGACTCAAATCATGACTTTATTCTATTAAGTCACCAAAAATCAAATAGAAGATTCTATCAAAACATAGCTGTCAGCTAAAATTTTATTCTGTAGAAAGATAAAAAGCTATTCTATTTTAATAATTTTAATTTGCTTCTGCCATGAAGATTCATTTGTGATAGTTTCCTTTTAAATTTAAAAGATATTTTAAATGATGCCATTTAATATCTCTCTTCTGACTGATTCTGTTATCTGCTGTCACAGAGATTATGTAGCCTAGGAAACCCGAAGCCAGCTCGACAATACGGGGTGTCTGAGTTCTCTTCCTTATTCTGTCTCTGACTTATTTTATGAAAACTGGTAAGTCACTTAACCACTTTCTGCCTACACATTCGAAAAATATGTTAGATAACTATCGTCAACAAACAATGCACGCTTTTTAATCTGCTGTGCGTCAGTTTCACCACTGCCACCTCTCCAAGAGTGTTCTTTGCTCAGCGGGGGAGGCAAATTTAAAAGACAGAGAACTCAGCGATTGATGGTATTCTTCATAAAAATACACCTTCTATAAGTCGTGTCTTTCGAACAATGATATAAATGCCTGAGGTTTTAAAAAATGCTGTTAAAAATCAGGATCAACTTTATTGTTTGTTTTATTGTTTTTCAGACAGGTGTTAGTGGTGCTTCTTGCCTCCCCAGTCCCTGCGTCCAAGCTCCCACCTACGCAACGCAGGATTCCCAGGCTGCCACTCCGCCGCTGCACCTCGCACCCTAACTCCACGTGGCGTGAGCCGACAGAAGCAGTAGTGTGCCCTGTAGTCCGGGATATAGACTGTCCTGAATGCAAATCTCCGCTCTGCCTCTTATTAACTAATCCCAAATTCGGTAGTCTCCCTGAGGTTCAGTTTCTTCATCCATGAAATGAGGGTAATTAACAGTACCAAACTCATGGAGTTGATGTTAATTAAGAATTAAATAAAATAATGTGTATACCTAATATAGGATTTAGCAGACAGTAGACACCGAATAACTGATAAGTATAAATGGTAGCTATAAATTGCAGAATGGAAAGATCAAAGCACTTTCCCATCTATTTCTACCAGTGCCGTAGGCCACAGCCCCTTTGGAAGCTACTGGTCTATGGTTATGGCCGGGCCTTACTCTGTATCTGATAAAGTCCCGGGAGAGTGAAGGCACACACTGTCACCCCGCCTTCCTTGCCTCTGCATCCCTTGAAAAGGGCTGTCCTCAACTTCCCCCCATCTTTGCCTCCTGTTTCTTATATATATAGCATCAAAGGTTTTTGTTTAAAAATGATAAAAAATTATTCTTTCTTCAATGTCTTTATTCCCCTCCTCCACATACCCTGTCCTGTTTTTCTTGACTTGCTGGGAGTCTAGATCAATAGCATAAAATTAACTTTCATTAGTAAAGTCATGTCATCATATGTGATGATAAATTTATGTAGAAAAAAGTAATACCAGGAAAAAAAAAAGAGTTTTTCTGACCTTTCAAAAGTTGGAGATAGCTGCATAAATAATTAGTTCACCATCTTTTCTCTTTTAGCTGAAAATTAAACTGATGTACATTTTTCTTGGCTCATAATATGCTGAGATAAAATGGGGTAAGGCAATCATTTCCACAATGTATTTATAAAATATAGCAGAGAATGTCTTCTCTGGTTTTATTTTCTCTGAAATGCCTCTTTATCATGGCGTAGGTTGAGATTAGAACTGAAAGAAGAGGAAATGATGGCTGAGACTGAATACTAAGACATTTTAGAGGGGACTAATATCAAAGCAATGTGATTTTCTAAAGAGAAAATTAGACTTGGAGCTTGAGAACCTAGTGTCCTTTCCAGATAAATCCTTATGTCCTTCTTGGTGTTAATTAGAAAATATTTTTGTTTGTGCGATATATTGCCCCCATCTAAAAAAGTCTACATTTCCCCCATGGAAAAATAACCCTTTTATTCCATTAATCTCTGACCTGTGGAAATAAATGAGGATCAACCAAATGAGAACAGGCAAAGGCTATTTATTTAGAGCTTCCCTTCCAAGGGAATCAACCACCATCACCCATGTTTTGGCAGGGACTCAGGGGCAGGCAGAGGAGTGGGAATGATTTGTAGGAAATAAAGGGAAGGCTTTAGGTGTGTTCAGAGTGGAGGCTGCTGGCCTGGGAAAGCTGGGAACACTTAACCAGAGCAGGACATCCTGTATGGTTGGTTTGTGGAGCACAGTTAGCTTTCTCTGGTTGGTCCTAAGCTGGAAGTGGGGACAACAATTAGGGAAGCTGTCAGTTATTAATCAAGCCCTGGCCAGTTGGGGCTGATTGTTACAAGGTTTATTGTTTGGCTTCTTGGATTGTTACTAGAGATAATGGTTTGCACAAGTACGACTTGTGCAAGCAGCTGACTTCCTGGCCTGATTACTACAGATTGTGAATCAGAGTTTTGTTTTCACATGTGGTCTGGCTGTTGGTCTGTTTGTATATTCAGTCTTTCATTCCTGTAGGGTCATGTTGCATTTTTGGGGAACCAGCTAGAGAGAAGTGGATTTGGGTTGTACTAAGTTTCCTGGATGATAGATGCACATTAAGCAATATATCAGCATGTGGTATGGGGAAGCAGAACAGGGAGGCTGGGCCAAGATTAGGGCCCAGGAAGAGCATCAAATGTATGTAGATTATAATCATGGGCCCAAGCTAATAAGAAAAAAAGATTGAGAATGTGTTTCTGCAGCTGGAGACTCAAAGGATGGATATATGTGGCATTTTCAAACACTGAAAAGACTACCATGAGGAAGAGGTTAACAGTATACCCAACTGAGATCAGTCAGCAGAAAGGAAAGGCAGGTAAATTTAGTACAAATATATGGAAGGCCTTTCCAAATATTAGATCTCTCTGATAATGTCATGAACAGCATCCTGCAGAAAGAAGTTTCTCCCGCTTGGACGGGCTCTGACAGAGACAATCAGCAGTGAAGGATGGCCTCCGATTCTGTGATGATACAAATCTAAAAGTTAAGGCGAGTCCAGACATTCACGCTAGATAATGAATAGCATATTGAGGGGGGAAGAGGATGATGTGGAATAAGTAATCGATGTATTACCAAATGTTAAGTGGCAAGAGAGAAAATGGGGAAAATTCATCTAATAAGAAACTAGGAAAGAGGAAGAGATGGGAAAGAGACAAACAGATAGAAAAAGACAGAAAATGAAAAGAGAGCCATAATGAATGAATATAAATCAACTGTTTGAAAAAGAGAAGAGGCACCACTGGACTGAGGCATTGGAAGAGTCAGTGGCTGTGGGGATCTAGCCATCAGCCGTCTCCCCTGGGCGTTCTGGGTGCTTGGTCACCTCTCACATAGATGACAGAGGAAATACGCAGTGTAGGTGATTACACATCCCTGATTCAAGGGCCTGCACCTTCCTTCCCTGTGGGTTGCCATTTATGTAGATTTGGGGTGGGGGATGCCATTCAAGAACTCTAGAGATAAACCCATCATGGGAATTTACAAACTACAGAATTAATTTCTGGATTGAATTACTGACATTCTGCAAACCAAATGTCTTTAGGAATTTTGTTTATTCTGATCGTACATTCCTTAATTACTCATTACTCTCCATGATTGGCTGGAAGAGGAAATGCACAATTTAGGTCCCCTGTTTCAGGCTGCCATCTGATGGCGTAGCACAGTCTGCGCCTGCAAATGGAGGAGGGAGAAGCCCCGAGCTCACCACGCACTGGGCCAGGCGCTGTGCCGGACATGCTGGGAACGTGGCTTCATGCGATCCTCTCAGCCTCTGTGAGAGCATTCCTATCTTAATTGTGTAGGTTCAGTATGGCCTGATAACGTACAAAGGTAGCTTAGTTGCTAATGAGCAGAACTAGGATATAAAATCAGGTTTATATGACTCTCAATCCACAGTATAGATTACCTCAAGCAAGCTCCAAACCACAAACAGAATAAATACTTACATACATCTTAGATAATACTTGAGGAAATTAAAAAGCAATGAGCTAATGAAGTCTAAAATAAATTTTTAAATAAATTAAATAATATTAAAATAAATTAAATTTTATTTTTGTGGTTCACTGATAAGAAGATGAGGATTACTTTTTAATCAAAATTTGGTTATAAGTTCTTATAGTAATAACAACTAGTAAAACTTCCTATGGTAAATTTATTGAGTTTTTAAAAGAATGCACAGGTTTATTGAGAAT